GTATAGATTTTTGTCTCTCTCTTCTTAACTCAATAAACAATAGTCTAGTTTCTTCTCATGAAGATATGATAAAAACATTTTTTGACTATTTTCAATATTTTAGATCATGGTTGAGTAATCAATCATTAAATATCACTTCAAAATCAGTTATATCCACTCGAATGGGATATCCAAGTTCACAACTAGGCCTTACTATTCTATCAGGAGATCCATCTTCTCAACGTATCGGTAATGATAATGCTAATTTTATATTACAAAATATGGCTTTTAAAGCGTTTTTTCAACCTATGGATCAAGTAAATGAAACATTTAAAGAAATCATTATATTTCGATGAGATAATCTATCGTCTAATGATTCATATAACGACCCAGTGAAAAATATTTATTAAAAAAAACGGCAAAGAACGCGTTCGTGAAAACATGGAAACTTGCCTTTTACGTGAAGAACGCGCTCCACAGTTTAGTGAACGCTTTCATAAACGAAAAGAGACATGCTGAGTCTAAAGGAACGCATTCTTTGTTGTTCCGCATTATTACAGAATGTTTTCTTCTCAGCTCAAAAGTCGTCTCTATTTAGACAGAAAGCCCTCTGAACCGTACCATAGATAAATAGAATGAGTTTCTATCTATTCTTTTTTGAAACGATTAGGATAGAGTTCTATCAAAATGAGTTTGTTTTCTTTGACGTTCTCTAGAGAAACACCTGAGGATGGTTTCTTTGAACTGATGAACTCATTTCAGACATTCTAAGGTCATTATTAGAAAAAGAGAACGTATTCTCCAGAGCTTCTCTAGATTGTTGAACGCTTCATCTAGATTCAACGTCGATTTTGATTCAAAATTGACAGCTCTGGGGCACAACACATTGAAAGTGACACCAAAAATGGTGGAACATCGGTGAGTTGTATCCCACAGGTGGTAGTCCTGATTTTTAAAAAAAATATTTCGAATAATAATTCGAGCTACAAAAAATCTGAGCACACCATTGGATAGAGCTCGTCGAATTATACTAGAACAGATCTCTCGACGAATAATGCGTTAACTTCACTTACTTCTCTTCAACGATTCTTGTAGGGAATGTGAATCTAGGTGATAATGGCCAAGGATGCGTTCCAAAATGGAACGGTCAAGGATGCATTTCAAAAAAGTGGAATGCATTCAGAAATGGAATGGTCAAGAACGTATTCCTCTTTTATAGCAAAATGTTTGTTTTCTTGAATAAAATTTTCTACGAAAGTGGAACGCATTCTTTGCAGTGTTTTTTGATAAATATTTTTCACCGGGGAAAGAGATTCAAATAATTGGACATGTTCATGAATAGTTCATGGATAGCCTGTGCAATGTACTATAGAAAAATGTTTTGATAGAGGATGTTTATCTTATCGAAGCGGTGCATCTACAAAACTTAATATAATCGCAAAAAGTTTAATATTATTTATTCGTTATAAATTATTGACTTAGTTATAAAATTTGTTTAAAACCGAATGAAGGATTATAAACTATCAAGAAAATGCTAAAGATGAGTAATTAAAATCAAGCGAATGTCAATTTTGTTTTATACAGGATGGCTCAAAAGTAATCTGACACAGAATTTTTTTCACTTTTTTTCTTTGTACACCGTCAGTTAGATCTCATATTTATACCACATATACTAGATGATATAACTCAAAGATGTAGCATAGGCAGAGGCCGCGCGAGGGTATGAAGGTTAAGGGGGAACGAAGGTACTTTTTTGCAACAAAACCTCATAAAAATATGATAGAAAGTTCAAAAAATCCATTTCTATCATTGAAAAAAAGTTGAAAATTTCCCATCATTGGGGGAGGGGGTGTACACTTTCCACGCACTCCGCTTTCGCGGTTCCTCAGAATATGATCAGTATTAGTTCATTTCGTCCAGTGATCTCTTTCTCTCTTTATTTTAAAGAAAGGTATCTTGTATATATACAACAAATAAAGAAAAAAGGAAACGAAAGCATCGAGGGATAGAAATGAGCTGAATCAACCACTAACAGTTCTTCCCCCTTGCACGAGATGTGTGTCCTCACACATTAATATTCATTCCACAGTTCATTCCAGAATTATTTGATTTTGTTTGATAATAATTCATTATAAATAACTAATTCAAGATCAAATTTTTGTTCGATAAATCGATGTTGGTTTATAGATAGTTTTATTTCATATTCTTCTTTTGCAATTATAACAAAATATAATGACTGATGACTATTAAGAATTGAATCATTAGTAAAATTTGATTATGATTGTGTAGCCATGGGTGTGGGGTGGGATGTGGATGTGCATGAAGAGAGTATCCACACCCACACCCTTCTTCTTCTGTATGTCTATCTCTTTCTTATGTTGAAACGACCACCAATGATAGCGGTGAATGTAAAATAAAAAAATGGATACAAAAAAAAAACAGAACACCGACAGATAATAAAATATAATGTTTTATAGTATTGACAACTCTTCCGCCGCACTTACAAGATGAGCTTTTCTTTAGTTAATTTTGGAATAGATTTTATTTCTTGTGCATCAGTTTCGTTGACCAAACTATAAAAAAAAACATGTTAACATCAATATGAATTTCTATATATATCAAATATTACTATATATGCGACAAACGATTGATTGAGAACTTTCAATTATTTCAATTTTGTTCACGTGATAAATGTTAATTATTTTCGTTGCATCCAAAAAACAAAAAATATTAAATCATAACAACAAAAGTAAAAAATTTACAATTATGAACCATATCTTTCTTTGATATTGCATTATCAATTTGTACCATATTTCGATCATGGCACTTAAAGAAAATAAAAGTAATTAATCTATCATACGAAGTGACAAACCACATTCCAAAATAAAAAACAACTCATCTATCAATTAAATGGAGCTCGAATACAAATGGTAGCCAACTACAGAAGCCTTAAATATCGTTTTTGTTCGTAAATAGTATCTGTTATGTCTATTTTAAAGATTCTGCACTTAAAACAATAATAAATTAGAATTGAATATTCCTATGTTCTTCAGATGAAAAGAATGTAAAAGAAAAAATTATAATTTCACTTCTTTATTTCGTTGTTACTGTACAATACATGTAACACAGAAAAAGACACACTCGAGTTACTATTCAGTTCGATGTGATAAAAGACCTATCATGTGATGATACAAGTAACAGAAAGAAAAACAAATAGCTGCACATACTGAAAATATCAATGAGCGTATTTATCGGACGTGAACACGCATGAAAATTAATATATTGAAGCTATTTTTCTCGGAAAACCGAATCGCCGTGAAAGGGTTAAAATTCTACCCGCTAGACTATTTAGTCTAGGGAACATGATAATGTAACTCATTGTACTGCAATAGGGCTGACCAAAAGTTCTGATCCCGGTGTTTAAAATTTTATAAAATAGTTAACATTGAATGTTTTATTGTATGAATACATAGTAGAATGCCTCGTCTACAATAATGTAGTTAACAACTCTATCTTGAATTTAATTCTAACATTCTTTTAGATAAAGTCTAAAATACTTAGGGCTGAGCAAAGGTTCTGATAACATCAAATAAAAATATAAAAAGAAAGAGATATTTTTAGTTTTATTTTATTAAATGTTCAAAATAGTCACCATTATTATTTATACAAAGTTTCATTCTTTCTAACAGTTTGTCGAAAAGTTTTTTAAACTCTTTTTCTGGAATATTCTTCACTATCTTGGAAACTTTCTGAGCTAGTGAATCTTCATTTGCTTGATCAGTCAAATTGCTCTTGATATAATCATTTAACCAAAAGTCATATGGTACGAGATCTGGTGAACATGGTGCATATGGCATTATTATAATACCTTGTTCTGCTACTTATGTATATCATTATAGATGAGGCACTCTGCTATGTATTCAAGCAATAAAACTTGCGATATTAACTATTTTATAAAATTTTAAACACCGGGATGAGAACTTTTGGTCAATCCAAAGTATACTCATTCTCACTAACGTCAATAACAACGAATACATTCAACTTTTTGAAAAGTCTAAACATGTTCACGAAACACTTGGCGTCAAGATTTTGTAGCCTTAAGAATCTTCTACAAAATGCATTGTTTAGTTTTCAAAAATGCTGTTTGAATTTGCAGGATTTGTAAACGAAAAGTCACGCAAATAAGACTTTTGTATTTTTGTGTCACGTTGCCAATGCTGATTTTTCAATAATGACTTTGGTGGAACCAAGGCTTATAGAAATGAGTTTTTTTTGCAGCAGCTAGAGTAACTGGACATAAATCTATTACATAAAAACTATTTAAGAGAAATCCTCGAGTTTACAGATATAAGCATTTTTATTTTGCAAAATCCCACAACTAAGGGATGGAACAGTGCATACGTTAATAATGTAATGAAAAACATGAAAAGAAAAGGGACTGATAAGAATATCATACTATGAATATGACAACAACAATCATCAAGTCTTCGTTCACTATCGATATAAAAATTTTACGGTAACTATTGAATGTATTCGTCTTTACATTTACAAAAAGAAATTGACGTTCGACTCGTTACATGCAAATTTAGCTATTTATTAGTTTCTTCAAAGCGTTCAATATTCACTTTTATTTACATTGACTAATCTCTTTTAGTAATACTCAGTACTGTTTTACTCCTTTGTCATTAAGTTCATCGATCTTGATTGAGTGTTGCCGATGAACTATAGAATTACTCCCCTATCGCTATTTCCAAAGAGCCTTATCCAAGAAATCTTTTATTCTATTGTACTATGTCTACTTTCATTCCTATGAATCTTTTTTCCTTTCCATAAAACGTTTTCAAATACATTGAAGTGAATTCACAGAAGAGTAAACAATGTCAATACTATTTAACGAAAATTTTCATCAATGAAAACTACTCTCCTAATCATATGATCATTATTATTCGAACAGATACTTATATGAAACTAATAATGATTCTCATGATGATATTTTTGAAAATTTCGTTTTTAACTAAGTGCAATTTCGTCGATATTTAGTAAGATTAGGAATATAAATCAATAACTGTGAGATAGTTCGACACCTCGAATGTATGAGAAAAATCACAAACCCATATTCGATGTATTATCTCGATACACTGAGAATATTTCGATGATATATCAAAAATCTATCGAATTCATTTTGGAAGCGAATTGTGATAAAATTGAAATCTTACGATAATCATATTATTGCTTAGCAGAATTACTATCGCTTCATTT